CTCTGTGCTCCGGTGTCATCCCTGGATCAGTAATGCTGACACCACACAGTACTCGGAGGATTTATAGCAGAATAGCAATCACACACTTATTACATCGAGTGTCTCAAAAGAGAACTTATTACAATAAATATGGCTTAAGGCCATCTAATAACGATAACAGCGGAAGGCTTGGAAGATAAGTGAGTCCATCAACTCCAACGGCATCACTGAGTATAGAACCACGACCTAAAAACTCCTTAATCGTCGTCTGAAAAGTCTGCAACATTAACGTTGCAGCCCGAAACGGGTCAGCACATGGAATATGCTGGCAATGTAACACATAGAGAGTAATGGAATGAAATAGCTATACTATATGCATATTTGGCTGGTGGAAAGCTCTATGGTTACAGTTTTGCGTAAAGCCAATTTTTCCCTAATTCAAAAGAATAAATTTATTTAACTATCATGATAGTTGTTAAACATTGAGAATGGTTGACAGCATTCTCAATCCCAATTAAGCATCATCATTAAACATAACCCAACAAAATTAATTTAGAGTAACATGTTGAGATTCACATGATAATCCAAGTACTAGATACTCAAGATGTCCATAACCGGGGACATGGCTAACCATGATTAGTTTATTACACTCTGCAGAGGTTTGCGCACTTTTCCCCACAAGACTCGGTCGCCTCCGTTTGGTTTCTCGCACTACAAGGTGTTTGAGAAGACGGATGACCGAGACATAGTCTTTCAGAAGCGCTAGCACCTTACGATCGGGTAGACCGTACCACCTACATCCTCTACATCTGCTAGTCTACCACTGTAAGAGTTCGCACAACTTAGTCAACTATGCTAGAGCCCATAATAGCTTGTGGCTGCACACGGAAGTTTTTAGTATGAATAGTCTCATGATCCCTTTGAGCCTGGGTGGCGGTCCAAAAGAAAACAGGCAAGTCCTGGAATACCCAGGTGCCTCAATCCACCCAGATGTGTGTTTAAGTTGCCACCTTAGATGAACCATTAATTAACAATCTCACATCTGTCATGGATATCACTCACCCAATCCACGTCTACTAGCATAGCATGGCATAATAAGCAAACATAGAAGTAAGTCCGAAATGTTTGATAATAACAGGTAATAGGTACTACCTCAACTACTTCCCATCCCACAATTTAATTAGATCCTAATCATGCAATGTGTGAGGATTGATCTAATGCAATAAAACTGGGTAGTAGAAAAAATATGACCAAAGTGTTACTTGCCTTGCTGATGATCTGGGAAACCTAACGATTTGAAGTAACAGGCGGCGCACTCCGGGTATTCTATCGCAGACAAACAAACAAGCATACAATAAGTACTCATCTAATGCACGGGTAAAACGCAAATAAGAGATCTAACCAGAAAGTTCAACTTAAGAACTCCGGTTGGCAAAAAAAATCAAATCGAACGAAGCAATGAAAGTCAAACGGCGAAAGAAAACAACTTCGTTTTAGTAATCTGGATCTAAGGCAAATTTTACAGTAGCAAAATCTTGTTTAAGTTGGTTAAACGAATAGAGGGTTTCGAGACGAATCTCTAGGCGCTTGAATCGCCTGATTCCGATAAACGAGCGAAAAGCTATACTAAAACGAAAATCGGATCAGGAATCGCGATCAGAAAAATCGTGGATTTAATCCGAGAAAAAGAAAAATGACGAACGCTCGCTAGAACGAACGAACGGACGAATGCTCGCTATTTAAATAAACCGGAAAAACCGATCTATTTAAAAAAACCAATCTAAAAAAACGACGAAAACTGATCTTTTTTATAAAAACGTTGGCACGGAAGTCGAGGCGGCGGCGACGAACCTCGGCGGCGGCGTCCGGCGACGGCGGCCGGAGCGGCGCGGCGGCGAGCGGAAGCGGCGGCATGGGGCGGCGGCTAGGGCGGCGGCTGGGCTAGGGTTTCTCCGGGTGGGCTGCCCCGGCTTATAAAGGCCCCCCCTCGGGCCGGAGTCCTAGTCGGACACGGCCCGTAGGTCGGTTCATTTTTTTAATTATTCCGCTCGGAAGAAAAATAAAAAGAAATACTAAACGGACTCCAAAAATTCCGAAATAAATTTTCACGGCTTCTAAAATCAAGCGCACAAGGTGAACATTTATTTGGGACCTAAATGCAATTTTGAAAAACACACATTTTTCCTAAATTCAAATAAAACATCGAAAAACTCTGAAATAAAATCTTATTTGATTTTATTATTAAATCCTCAATATTTCTTTATTTTGGGAAGTCATTTTATTCCCTCTCTCATATTATTGTAGTAGAAATAATTGATGATAAAATTAATAAAATCAAATAATCCTATTCTCAAAATTTGAGAGAACTCAAATATGAAAATAATGAATTCCCCAACTCTCTCCGTGGGTCCTTGAGTTGCGTAGAAATTCTAGAATAAAAACCAAACGCAAATAAAATATGATATGCATGATGATCTAATGCATAACATTCCAAATTGAAAATTTGGGATGTTACAGCTGGAGGCTCTTCCTTGCCGAAGACGGCGGCACCAGCTCCGGCGCGGTCACCCTGATGTCCCTGAGGAGCGCCGCATTGAAGGCCTCGCCGGATTTGGTGTCCGGCTTCGCCGCCGCCGCCTGGGAGGAGGCAGACGACGGGGGTGAAAGGGGGGCTGATTGCTTTTTAATTTTTTTAATAAGGGTGTATTTGTGAAATTCAGAGGTGTGTATGCAATTGTTTTGCCAAGTCAGCTCCTTACAACCTGGCCCCACTTGTCAGAAAGTGATGAAACGCAGCAAATCACTCGATTAGTGCTATTTGCAACAAGTTTACCGAATCCGCGGTGATCTTTGCAAAAAATTAGTGACCCGATGGTTTTCCACAAACAAAGCCCCAAATGTGGTGGTTTTCTGCAATTCACTTCAACAGAGATCGCACCAAAGTCTAACATCTAAAACCAGATGCCCCAGTCAAGCCAAATACCGGGACTGGGTCACACACCGGTCCGCCGCACTCTCGGAGGCCGCCGTTGTTGTCATCCACCGATCCATCTCCAGAACAGATACTGACGCGTTGACCTTGCCAAGCCTGCCGTCAACACCGCCACAATGCCAGACAACGCCACTATCCTGCATGTATCCATCCACGCGCGCCCGTCACCAAAACTCCATAGCGCCATGCCGCCGGGATCCACCGTTGATCTTACGGTAGATGTAACGTTGCTCCTCCTTTTTTACTCTGCTTAATAATTAATAAAATGATTGTGTGCATCACATTAATGTAGAGGCTGGTGGTTTAACCTCCTTTTGGAAAAAAAATGTGATGGTCGATGTGTATATGGTCATCGTTGTAGACTTGTAGTTTGTTGATCACGGATTCGGTCGCTTTGGGGTTCTTTTTTCCTTTCCTTTCCTTTCCTTGCCTATGAATCTGACATAACTTTGCTATTCGTCAGTGCGTTTTGTGTGTTAGTGGTGTCTATATGCATCTTAACTATGCAGAGGTCAGATGTGTACTATTTGGTTTGGTGTCCTCTTGATTCTTCGTTTTGAGTCAATAAAATTCACCCTTTATTGGAAAAAGAAAAAACAAGCACTCTAGCAGCACAAATTCTCCGAAATCCCAACGGCAGCCAAAGCCATACCACGGGCAAAGCCAAGTACCCCTCTCGCTGTGAGGCAGTCGATCGATCAGGCAGAGCACCAAAACATGCTCGCCTGAGTAAAGCAGCAAAGCTTCGGGGGAAGGAATAAGTAAGGAGCACGCGGCCGCGGCCGCTGCGCTGTAACCCGCCAAGGAAGCACGACAGGAATCAGGTATCATTGCAGGGTCAAAAAGGAGAGCGCCTGAGAGGAGAGAAGCGAGCACACGGACAGCATCACAGCACGCGCCCCGGCCGCCAGCTCCTCCCCTCCCCTCTGCCATGGACTAAAGCCGAAGCAACGAACATCCCAGCCCCACCCTGGACAGCATCAGAGCAACACAAAGGAGGTGGTGGTCACTGCTCTGCTCACCAGCCTAGGTGACAAGCTGGAGTTTGGTCCGGACATTTGTATTGACCGTCCGGACGCTATCAATGCCGGCCGCGTAGCTGCATCAGCACGAAACGTTTTCAATGGAAAAGGGAGAAGAAGAGATGAGATCCTCTACTCCTGATGAGTACCAACAGCTGGACGGGATGGTGGAGCGAGTTGACAAACTTCCTCGTGAGCGAACGAGCGAACGGAAAGATGCCCGGCCTCATGGCAGAAAGTGCGTGTAAACTACCAGAATCAATCATGGATCTCAGCAACTACAGTAGTATCTTAAGCACACACATCCATTAACCATGTACCCAGGAGAAAGAGAAACACAGTAAACAGCAGTTGCAAACCAACCTGCACTGCTGCCCTCAATCAAGACGCCGACATCTCAACTGGCAGGAGTTAATGGAAATCTAACGTTTCAGACAAGACAGAATGCAGTATTACCAGCCTGTAGATTTACAGACAGAATTCATAAATAAGTACTACTACCAGACGTTTTTGCAGTTCAAATCAGTTCAAATCAATTTAAACTGCAAAGAAGTCTTGCATTTAGGAACAGAGGGTGTATATATCAGCACAACGGATCCAACTATCAACAGATAAATTACCCAAAATTAGTAAAGCGGTAGTAGTAATAACTCTTTGACAATGTTAGAACACACCTATGAACAGATAAATTACCCAAAAGTCGGAATGCGGTGGTAGTAGTAACTCTTTGACAATGTTAGAACACACCTCTCTGAACCTTTGTACAACGCTGCAAATCAAGAACACCCCCTTTTACACAAGCCACAACTAAAATCAAAAAGATAAATAGCTTTCTTTCTACTCTTATTATCAAGTAGCAACTTCGATTCTGAGGGTTTATCTCTGGCACACACTGATCTTTGATCCCCTTTACACAGCCTCCCTTTGTTTCCCAAATGTACAGTTTATTTTTGACTATATTGTTTCATATCATTTGAATCTATAATTCCTCCGCCGATCTCGGCAGTCTAGGACTCTAGGTACACCCTGCATTGGATCACCGTGCCGCCGAGCCGGAAGCCCGGCACCACCGTGAACCCGACCTTCGGGCGCACCGTCTTGCCGACCTCTTTGCTTGCTGAGAATGCTTTCGGCCGAACAATGCTCTCCATGTACACCGATGAGTACTCTGTGCCCCGGCTAACCTGGAATATGCCGACTGCTGGGTCATAAGCCCAGGCCAATCTGTGAAGTGTCCATATTGAGCTTGCCATCGTGATGAACAACTCGTAGAGTGGACCGGCTGTAGCCATCACCGGCAATGCCCTGCAGTCTGGATTCCCAAACAATGAGGACTCAATGCCTGGATGGATGAGCTGTTTGTACTTCCGATCACAGAATTGCGAGAATTCGCAGTCTGGGCTTGAACTCATGAGCTCCATGGGGTCTGCATCAGAGTGCGCGATGAATTGCTGCAACGATTCATTCCTGCGAACTGCAAGCTCGATTCCTTCGAGGGCAGACGCATCGCTTGTGCCACCGAACTGGTAGGAGTCAAAGCCGTCGAACATGGATAGGCAGACACGGGAGAGGAGAGCGTAGCGGCAGTGGCCATGCTTGGAGTAGGCAATACCGGGGTAGGCAGCTGCCGCAGCGTCAGCCAGGTCCCATCCTGCGCACCGGAGGAGCTCGGCGAGGGCACGGGTGAAGCGGTGGGCGACGCGGAGAGCATCGCGCAGGACGGAATCGAAGACGCTGGCGGACAGCATGGCGCCCAAGGCGTCGCCGCCGCCCGCGCCCGGCTGTGGCGCGAGGGCACGGTCGAGGCGCCCGGCAAGGCGCGCGTTGCCGTCCGCCAGCGCCGCGAGCTCCCAGCGAAGAGAGGCGGCCGCGGCGTCCTTGGCATCGAGCGCGGCCTGGAGGCGGTTCACCACGGCGTCGAACGACCGCAGCAGCGCCTGGTTCTCCCCCACCTGGTCCTCGAGGTGGGCCGTGAGGGAGCCGTCCTCCGCCGCGCCCGACGCGAGCCGCTTTAGCTCCGACAACCGCCGGAGGTGCGAGACCGCGAGGGCGTCCGCGGCGGCAGCCGCCTCCGGCAGGAACGGCGTGTGCGCCGCCTGCAGGTGCAGGTACGCCGCCTGGAACGACGACGTCGTCGCGAGTGCCGCCGCCACGGCGGCCTCCTTTCCGGACGCCGACCCGGTCCCCCCATCGCCGCCGACGGGGCTGCTAGGGTTCTGCGGGTCGGGCTTCAGTACGAGCACCCGCTGGCCAGCGAGGATCCCGCCCTCCCCACCCGCGGCATCCTCGTCCTCCTCCTCCTCGGCGAAGAACTCGATGGTCTTGGTCTTGAACGCGAGCGCGAACTTCTGGAGCATGGCTGCGCGATTCGCGGGCGCGCTGACCCCCGGACGTCTCCGCCGCCGGCGGGGGCGGGGGATCACCGGCGCGAATTGCGGATTTGCGAGGCGGGGATTCGAGGGAGAGGACGCGGAGCGCGGTGAGAAGGGGAGAGAGGGCGGTGGTGGGGGCGGTAGAGTGGAATGGAGCGGGGTTGGGGAGGAGGTGGGGGATCTGGGAGAGGAAAAGCGGCAAGCTTGTCTCCGTCGAGAGGAAAGACTTGGAATTTCTTGGCTCGGCTCCTCAAGAAGAGGGTGGGTGTTTGTTACAGAAGATGCTTCTACGCTCGTGATTTTGTACTACTTGTCTTTAAAAAACCACGAGAAGAATAGTTATAGTTTGCTCACGGTACCTTGATGATTTTGTAAAAACTCGTTGACTGCTATGTTCTTGACATTTCCTAGGGCCCCGTAGAAAATAAACATGTTCTTGGGCAGTGTTTAAACATGTTTTCTTGAAATAGGGCAAAACATTTTTAAACTTATTTTGGGTGTGTGCGATTGAGGTTTCTCATTTGCCTTTTCTTTAACACGGTACACACGCAGAGGCTCATACATATACACATACGCTCATCTTTATAAACGCATGCACGCATACCCTGCACCTATGAATACATCTGAAAGACTGACACGACACATCATCTTGTGTTTTTCCCTTGCATTGTGCTTTGGGGATCTTTTTTTAATAAAAGAAGGGTCACTCCGTCGTTTTTTCATTAATAGAAACCACACACTTCAGTACCCTAACACAAACTATCATAAGAACATCACAACTACTAGGCTTAAGGATCAACAGAGTGATCCAACCAAATTGCAACACCCCCAAATCAACATCCCCAAAAGAAGCTACTCACATAAAAACAATGTCTAGTACCAACTAGATCTCTGAATAGGTGTACGAAACACACCAATATATCTCTGGATGGGCGAAACACATAATGGATTATACAAAAAAGAAAAGCAACGCCTCTCAACTATTATTGACGACCTAGATAAAATCGCAGAAACTCGCATCTTGTCTCAACAAGAGATTGAATTGAAAAATCTATCCAATGAGAAGATTGCAGGTCTTCTACGTGAAGAGGAAATAAAATATTACCAAAGATCCAAAGCTAACTTCATCTTGAAGGGAGACAGTAATACACGATATTTCCAATTGCTCGTCAACGGTCGGCATAGGAAGAAGTGTATTTTTAGTCTCCAACAAGATGAGGGAATGGTCGAAGGTCAGGCAGAGCTCAAAAGTTATATCACTAAATACTACAAATCTCTTTTCAGGGCGCCGGATGAAGGGAATTTCACCCTTGACGAGACCCGAATAGATGATATTCCACAGGTCACGACAGAAGAGAACAGTATCCTCACGGCACCTGAGGGAGTCCTGGATTAGGGGGTGTTCGGATAGCCGAACTATACCTTCCGCCGGACTCCCGGGCTATGAAGATACAAGATTGAAGACTCCGTCCCGTATCCGGAAGGGACTTTCCTTGGCGTGGAAGGCAAGCTTGAAGATACGGATGATCAGATCTCCTACCATTGTAACCGACTCTATGTAACCCTAACCCTCTCCGGTGTCTATATAAACCGGAGGGTTTTAGTCCGTAGGACAACATACACATCAACAATCATACCATAGGCTAGCTTCTAGGGTTTAGCCTCTCTGATCTCGTGGTAGATCAACTCTTGTAATACCCATACCATCAATATTAATCAAGCAGGACGTAGGGTTTTACCTCCATCGAGAGGGCCCGAACCTGGGTAAAACTTCGTGTCCCCTGCCTCCTGTTACCATCCGGCCTAGACGCACAGTTCGGGACCCCCTACCCGAGATCCGCCGGTTTTGACACCGACATTGGTGCTTTCATTGAGAGTTCCTCTGTGCCGTCGCCGTCAGGCCCGATGGCTCCTACGATCATCAATGGTGATGCAGTCCAGGGTGAGACCTTCCTCCCCGGACAGATCTTCGTCTTTGGCGGCTTCGCACTGTGGGCCGATTCACTTGGCCATCTAGAGCAGATCGAAAGCTACGCCCTTGGCCGTCGGGTCAAATTCGAAAGTTTAAACTACACGGTCGACATCCGCGGGGACTTGATCTTCGACGGATTCGAACCACTGCCGAGCGCGCCGCACTGTCACGACGAGCATGATCTAGCTCTGCCGCCGAGCAGTGCCCTGGAGGCCGCACCCGCGTCGGCTCTGACCCCTAGTTCGGAGCCGGCCGCGCCGATCGAGGATGGGCGGTTGGACGCCGCCTCGGGGGCTGAGATCCCAACGGCGATCGAGCCGAACACCAGCCCCGCACTCTGCGAGACTCGTGACTCCGAGGAGCCAGACTCCTCTCCGGACTCTGAATCCCCCGCGCCCCTGCCAATCGGATCCGATTGGGCGCCGGTCATGGAGTTTACTACCGCGGACATCTTTCAGCACTCGCCCTTCGGCGATATTCTGAAGACACTGGAGTCTCTCTCTCTATCAGGAGAGCCCTGGCCGGACTACGGTCAGCAAGGTTGGGATTCGGACGATGGAGAAGTTCAAAGCCCACCCACCACCCACTTGGTAGCCACTGTCGATGATTTAACCGACATGCTCGACTTCGACGACATTGACGGTATGGACGCCGATGAAGGAGACGATAAAGAACCAGCGCCTATTGAGCCCTGGAGCGCCACCTCGTCATACGACGTATACATGGTGGACGCACCAAAAGATGACGACGAGGAGCGGAGGGATGCACCGAAGGATTGTTTCCTCGAAAAGCAGTCAAAGCGGCGACGCAAGCGCCACCCCAAAACCCGCCTCGACAGAAATAGCGATCACACAGACCCAGCGCTGGAGCAGGGCGAACCGCTGCCGAACAACGGCAATCCGGATAATCAAACTGAAGAAACAAATCCTATCAGGGATAATGGTCTGGACGACATAACGCCGGACAGGCACCCGGAGCAGCAGAATGCCCGTAAAAGGCTCGTTGCCACCGCGAGGAGTCTTAAAAAGCAGAAGCGAAGGCTCAAGGCCGCGCAAGACATGCTCCAATTCAGATGGAGCAAGATACTCAACACCGTAGTAAGGTACGGCGACAATTGCCCCTCCAAGAGCTACCCAAAGCGGAAGCTGCTACCCGAATTCGATGAGGAGGCCTCAGACCCCCCACAACCAAATATCAAAGCAGCCACCCAGTCGGATAAACGACCCCTCTACCACCGCAGAACGGCATGCAACACCGCTCACAATACAACACACGACCCATGCAAGGGCTCGCACCCAAAGGACGGTGCAACAAGATCCATCTATGGACCACGCAAGCGCGCCCCAGCATACAATGCAACACAACAAACATCCGAACAACGCGGCACACCCAGCTACAGGGGTGCCGCACACCCCCTATGTTTCACCGATGAGGTGCTGGACCACGAATTCCCAGAGGGATTCAAGCCCATAAACATATAGGCATACGACGGAACAACAGACCCTGGGGTCTGGATTGAGGACTATATCCTCC